TGAGCGGCCAGTAGCTGCAGTGAACGGCCGTCAAGAAGCCGGCGACTGATCTGCCTCGCCCGGGAAGAGCGCAATGATGGTGCCTACTTGGGTCAGTGAAGCAATGTCCTCCACAACTAGACTGAAGAACAAAAATGACAGCAACTTGTCTTTTTCCCTTCCCCCAATTCCCCAGCGCTGTTCCCATCCCCCAATTCCCCAATAAAAATCTTAAAAAAAAAAACAAAACTGAAATAACTGATAAAGGCATTTAAAATATGTAAGCTCCTAAGATATCAAAGGGCTAGGTCCACAGGATCAGGCTCTGTTAGCCTAAGTCTAGGAAAAGGGCAGTAAATATTAAGTGCCCAATTAAGACTTTCTAATGATAACAGCTTCACCTATGTTTTTCTCAGCACTCCCCATAAATCTATGCCAATGCCCTAGATTTAATTGTGATGATAAAAATTTAACTAACTAGTTTAGAATGCTTCATGGAAAAAAGGTTCTGGAAGATTCTGGAAAGGAATAGACTTAACCTGGAGGCTTAGCTCAGTGTGGTGGTTCTGAGTCCAAGGAAAGGTGTTGTGAAACGCTCCCTGCCTGGAGCAAAATAAACTAGAGCCATCTTTTTAAGGAACCATATTCCTGAATACAACACATCAAAATAGTAGATGTGTTCCACCCACCCCCATCACCACTACCACACTATCCCCTTTGGCCTCTACCTCTCACATACAACAAGACTAGCCACATTACATACCTGTGGAATAGCGCAGAAGTTAAACACACTTTGGTTTCTAAGTCTGGAAAGGTAGGTGATGACATCTGGGATGTGGTGGAGGGCATTGGTTATAAGTTCATTCAGACATTGCACAGCCAAATCAATATTCTCTGGCTTAGCAAAATCACCCAATTTCTTGACATACTTGCTCCAAACCTAGATAAGAAGATTAAAAAACAAATCAAGATGTCCACAGGGGAAGAATGTACAAGCAATATGAAGGGACCTTTGTGAATAAGAACTATGATACATATGATACACAGTAAAGTCTTTCTTAGCTGCTGACCCATATAGCACCAAGATCAAGTCGATTTTAAGCTCCACCCAATGGCTATTTATGACTACTAAGAGTCAAGGTCTAATCACAACCTAAGAGTGTGTTAAGTATTTGGGAAAGTATCCCTTTGAGACAATCAGTGCAGTTATGTACTAACCAATACTTTGATCACCTCAGACTAAAGAGGCCTCCTGTTATTCAGAAGGCATTAGTCTACACCTGAAAAAACAACCTGATGTATATAATACAAAATCAGCTCCAACAGTACCACAAGCTAAACATTCTCAAGATTACCAAGCCTCAAAATAATTAATGATTAACATCACATTCCCAGTTCTGACAAGAATGTTGCTGAATAAGCCTATCTGAGGAAAATGAGCTAAGTCTATACTTTAAGAACATTACTTCTTGGATCTTAGTAACTTGAAAGTGAAAAAACGTCCTCAACTCCAACAGCAGGATTTCTTTAATAATTTTTAATAATATTGTTAAATGGATTCTATGAAGTTAGCAAATAACTTACTTTTATTCTTGGGTAATTCTTAAGCTTCTTAAAGAAAGACACTTATTGTTACTTTATACATTCCCCAAAATAAATACTAGGCCCACAAGGACTAGGAAATTCTATGGAAAGTCAAATTCTAAACCCACTGAGATTGATGGTACTAGGCTATTCTGTAGAACCTGGAAAAAATAGTTACCAAACCCCTTATCTATCCATCCATGAGCTTCAACAATTATTGATACTTGGCCAATCTAGTTCCATCTATATGCCCCCCACCCCAGCCCGGGGTTATTTTAAATCAAAGCCCTGATAGATCAACTTATCCACAAAATAATTCATTATGGATTTCTGAAAGACTAGGAACCTTCTTGTACGTATCTAATCACATCTGAAAATTAACAATAAACACTGAATACAAAATACTTAGCTAGTGTTCAAATCATCCCATTGTCTAAATTTTTTTTCTACTTAAGTTTGTTCAAATAAGGATCTAAACAAGATCCATATATTGCATTTGGTTGATGTCACTTAGTTCTCACTTAGGTCTACTCTACTCAATTTTTATTTCATTACTCCATGTGGGGCTCAATCCTGGAAGATAATCCTGGCTGGTCATTTCAAAGGGGCTAGTCCACTCCAGCTTCTCCAGGCTTCGCCAGGCCCCCGTAGGCTCACCCACGACTGGAGAAGGAACACCTCTCATTTCACCTGCTTTTCTCAAAGGCGCCATCCTGCTGTCCAGTGAAGACCTGTTGGCTCTTTGGAGGCCTCTCCTGTTTTCAGGTCTGGTAGACACCCTGCAGCCAGTCCTCACTTTCCCCTGTGCAGGCCCTGGCAGCAGACAGGTTTTGTTTGTGGTGTTATGTTTTGTGTGTGTCCACTTAGGTTTTGAGTTCCTGGGATGTTGTGTCACTTAGTGCTTTTGTACATGTTATCCATGGGCTGGATTCCGGATACGCTTGTTTAGTTCTTGGTTTGTTTGTTTTTGGGTCGAATTATTTCATCTTTTTTTGTGAGAATTTGGGGAAAATCCCAAAACTAAGCTGCTGCCACCACTACCACTATTTTCACAAAATTCAAAATTCCAGCTAATAAATGCAGAAAGGGTGACAGAACTAGGAGTGCCATTTGGCATCTCCAATGATAATGAATCTAGACAGTGACCACCAAGGAAAAGAAAAAGAACCCATAATTTTTAAGAAAAATAAAATTAAGTTATTAAAATTTTCAACAGCCAGTCTTTAAAGCAGAAGGAAGTAGAGTAATACATACAAGATACTCAAAAAATGTGAGTTAAAAACTTTATATCTAGGAAAACTGACCTTCAAATATAAAGGACACAGACAAACTATTACCAAAATGTATAAACATAGGGGATTATTGTTCTGGTGGGTCTTTCCTGTCCGCCAGAGCAAAGCATCAGAAAACCAAAATGACTCGAGTCGTCAACATAAAGACGGGTGGTGAGTATAAAACTAAGACTAAAGAAGGGTGGAAAGGGAGATATTGTAGTAGGTAATAGCCATCTGATCTGACAGTTTAGATAGAAATACAGCCATAGAAAATCCACACTTTTAACTCCCCCAAAACTGAAATAGTCATCCCCTAGAATCCACAGTGTCAGGATCCCCAGATACCAAAATCTGCGGATGCTCAAGTCCCTTATATAAAATGATATGAAACAATGTATACAGTTCCCTTCCACATCCACAGATTCCCAACCACGGACTGAAAATACTGTTGGTTGAATCCATGGATGTGTAGCAGAGCCTAGGGATATAGAGGGCCAATCGTGTATTTACTGAAAAAAATCCGCATATAAGCAGACCCCAGGCAGTCCAAACCCATGCTGTTCGAGGGTAAACTGCAGTTCTTTCTGCTTCTATTTTACAGAAGAGGGAGGTGAGGTGTGAAAGGACTGTAGAGCTGATACCTGTGAATGTGCTCATCTGAGAGGCAGTGTGGTACATGGACAGGCACTTGGCTGGCACCCAGGAGACCGAGGCTTCCCTTCCGGGGAGGCCACTAACTCACTGGGGTTCCTGAAACAGGCCCCTTTCCCTCCCCTGAGCCATGGTGCCAAAGGAGGAGTGGACAAGAGCTGTTTCTCAACCCTGGCTGCATATTAAACCCACTCAGGAAGCTTGAAAAACTATGATGTCTGAGCTCAGGGTAGTTTTAATGTGAATTTTTCTTATTAAAAGTAAGACTGATCTTTCTCAGATGTTTAAGGATTATTTGCATCTTTCTTTCTGTGAGCTATCTGTTCTTTTCTCTTTGTCCCTTTTTTCTATAGGGCATTTGGTCTTTGTTTTAACTTTCAGCAGTTTTTAAAAAATATTAGGAACGTTAACCCTTTATCTGCAGTATATTTTGCAAATATTTTTCCCACTTTGCCACTGGCCATTTTTCACTTGAAAAGCACTTGGTTTTAGGAAACCATTTTATGGAAAGCAAAAGGTAAATACTGGAATAAAATCGGCAAATAGTCATAAGATTTTCTAGCTTTGCTTCTGAATAAAATCAATATCAAAGCCTTTTCTTTCCCTAATTGTCAAAGATCAGCTCTTGTCTCTTGAAATGAACATCTGTAAGTTTCTGCCTGTCTAGCATCCTCCTTTCCCTCTTCTTTCCCTAGGACACTTCTTCCCTGGAACCCATTCCATGTGCACTGGGCAGAGATAATCAGGGTCTGGACAGAGTACTCAGCTCTCTAGCTGTAGTAATTGATTAAGGGATGGGCACAGGAACCAAGCCATACCAATCAGGCCTTCCTAAGGACTTTTTCGTTAAGCTAGCAGGTGGTGAGTCATGTTTGTTATATCCACCACATGGGGAATGCCTGTCAAGAGAGAAATAAAGGGAACCGAGCCTGATGACACAGTCTGAACCCCCAGATTCAGCCAGTCTACCAACATGAAGCAAACTAAATCGTAACCTGCTTCATACATTCTTTTACATTGCTTAAGGTAGTTTAATTTGGGTTTCTGTCACTTGCAACTAAAAGGGTTTAATGGCTTGTTTTCAGAAAGTGCTTAAAATTTTTCCCCAAATCTCCTGAATTTGTTACCTCTTGAGGCCAAAATTCTCTTCCTTCTTGCTGGTCTTCCAGATAATCACGAATGATGTTTGTTTTCTGCAGAAACAGGCCCAGAGAGTTGGCACACGCTGTGTCTTCACCAACTACGGGATCTTCTAACTCTGAGGCCGTGAACAGACGAGAAAGGCCAATTCCCACCAGTCCAGCAACATAGTGGCAGTACTATAAAAGATTAAAGTACTTTAATAATAAAATTTTTACTAAAATGAAAATGCTAGAGATCATTAGCTACAAAAAATACAGCTTCCACACAGAATGTACAAGATCTCATTTTGATTGAAAAAAATATCTATACACTATGTACATGGTAAGGAGTAAAAAACATCCAAGGATATGCACAAAAGACTTAACAAAAGTGATCTCTGGCTGGTGTGATGTTTTTACTTTTTTATTTGTATTTTCTATATTTCTACAATGCACATACACTGCTTCTAGAATAAAAGATTAAAATAAACTAGTAAACTTTTTGATATCCAAAAGTCAGAGTGAAGGCCATGAGGGAATAAAATATATTCTAATAGAAACTAGAATACTGAATTTAATCTGGAAGATATTTCAAGATCTTGCAAAATCCTCATTATGTAGAGGAACAAAGTACTACCAGGATGGTCTTGACACTGTTTTAAGCACTCTGCATATTCAATCCTCTTATGAGATACATACATACTATCACCATTTTACAGATGTGGAAACTGAGGCACAGAGAGGTCACTTAACTTGCTCAAGATCACTCACTCATCTGGGAAAGCAGAGGCCAGGGATTGAAAGGCAGATAGTCAGCTTAAGAGGCAGGCTTTAATGATGTTGTTAAAATTGCCTTCTCTCAAATGAGATCTTAATAAACTAATAATTGTCAAAGAACTTTTGTCCCATAAAAGTGGTTTGTCAAAGCTATCCTCCCCTGAAAAGAGTATGCCAAGACAACTTAATGCAGTGCTTTCATTAAATGAATGTCCATTAGACAATTTAAGAAGTGAAGAGTAGTTTAAAAAGGCACCCTCTGGAGTGGAGTTATGCAAAAACTAAACAGTGGTGTCTCTGGCTCAAAGTAATATAAAGACAGAGACTCGTCAAGAGGCACAATGAAATGGTAAAGAGAAGGCACTTGAAGTATGTTCTAGGAGATGAAGAATCTGGAAAGAGTAATGATATGTTGAAATTACAGAGAAATGAGTTATGGGCAATTTAAAAATAATTACTAGAAATTAAAAGCATTAGTACATCCATAGTGCTGTCCAAAGAAAAGTGTATTTTATTTTGATAATAGTTCTTTGGATAGAAATACTCCTAGAATGCAAGTATTCATCTTCCTTGAAAGTGGAGGAAAAATAAAATCTTTCAAAGTATTCAATTTTATCTCATCAGGACTTCTAGTCAACAACCTATAATTAAGTTTCCCCGATAGATCTTTATAGCAGAAAAGGACGTTACTATGCAGATAACCAGTGTTGGTTCTTGGCCAGGAGGAGTTTCAGCTTTAACTTTATATTCACAAACTGATACTCGAGCAGCAGTCACAGGCATGCTAACTTGGGGGCATCAACCAGCAGTTCCAAAGATGCTGCCATCGAGTTTTGAAGCTTGAAAAATTAAGAGGCCAGACCTTGGACCTGCACCCACTCAACACATACATAGCAGCATCTCACCTGACCAGCCACTGGTCAGGAATAAACTCTGGCCAAATAAAAGCCATTGTATTTTACTTGCCACATCCTCTGCTCTCATAGCCCTTTCCAGCTACTGTGTCTCCTGAGGAAGACAGCCTCACCCGCATGGGGTCTCCCACAGCTTATCCCCACATAGACATCTATAACCACCATATGAATTGGGGGTTGGGAGGTGTCAAGACACTTAGAACATCTCATATTGTCTTATTCTGTAAGGAGGTGATAGGAAAGGAAAAACTAGGGTATTAGAAAGTGCTTGTCCTCACCATAATACACCTACAATCCAAAATTAATACCTGTGGATTTTCATGAACTACTTTTGTTCCTAAGGAAACAGACATACAGTTCAAAAGTAATCTGTGTTAAGATGGAACTGGAAATAACTCAGATACTAAGATATGTATACATACACACTCAGAAAAGAAAATAACGAAAGCCACATTTTTAAGAAATGAAAACTGATATCTCTATATTACATGAAGTAATCTAGCAATTTACTTAAAATTTCACAGCAAGTCAGAGACATTTTTGTAAGCTTAACGTTTGGACCTCTGGGACAAGTAATATCTATTTTGGCCTAACTTAATGGTAAACTCTCTAGGGCATGAATTATTTCAAGTATTAAACTAAGCCCTTATTAAGTATTTATGACGAGACAGTCAAGCTAAACAGATGGGTGGTAAAACCAGAAATCCTGGAACTGGTGGACAACTTTTTCCTCACTCTGACTTTCACACTGAGTCCTGCCGGCTCTGTCTTATGCACCACGCACTGCTTTACGGGGACACTAACCTTGTCCAACTCCTGTTCAGATGTCACGTGCTTATTCAAGAACTCTGCCATCCCAAATCCCATTTTCTGGCAAATGTCGACAATCACTGTTTGATATTTTACAGCCAGTTTTCTAAACTCAAAGGAGATCTGAAATGAAGATCAGAAAATATGAAATATGTATTCACACTGGGAACCAACATGGTTCCTATAGATCATAAAGCAAAGTAACAGAACTCATTAATTAAGACTCCCAGATGATTCATCTATAAGCCCAACATCTAGGCTCTACTGGTTTTCTACATATTGAATAAACCCAGCAAATTTTATAAGTATTAAAATAGGAGGGTCTAAAATGCTAGTTTTGACACTCAAAAAAAGATTCAAAGTCTCACTACATACTCATTTTTCCAATATATATAATAACTGAAATTCTTCAACCTAAAACTGGGCATAAGTGTAAGAATTTTAGGGAGGATGCCTCATTTCAGATAAACCTCATAATAGTGAAAACTGATTAGCGCAAACTTCTCAAGCACTTCCTACGTAACAAGCATTGTCGAGGCACTGGGAATAGACGGCCAGAAACGACCAGAAACTTCTGCCCCTGTAGTTTCTATTCTAGTGAGGGGCTCAGCCAACCATATTCTATCATCAGTTCCCAAATTTGTATCACAAAGCTATAGTGTCTCCCCCACTATAAGGCTACGCTTTTTAACTCCCTAAACAACTCTATTTAGCTCATTCTGAAGCATGCTACCCAACGTTTTTTTCATAGCCCAAGCTCTACTATAGGAAAGTACTACTGTTTTTTTAAAAATTCATTCCTACTGCACAAATACCTTGTTTAAGTTCAAATTAGTGCTTATAGGTTATCAAAATACAATATAAAAACACCATAAAACTTCTTAAATAAAATGCTACATTAATAGACCCAACACACAATACTGAAAACAGTGAATAGACTTTGTTACGCCCCAGAAGTGTGAGAGATACTTGGTCTGTGTTTACAGAAAGGTCAGAAAGACTTCCTCAGGAAACACCTGAATTTAAAGACCTGAAAGAAAACCAGCTGGGTGCTAGACACCAAGGGATTCAGAACCTAAGATACTTTAGGATTACCGTGATGAACATCAACTGCTAAACCCAAAAAAATTCCCTAAAATCAACCCAGTATCTCCAGAGCTGTTCTTTCCAGAGCAGCTGTTCCAAGGCAAAGCCAAATGGTAACTCCTATTGCAGACTGAAACAAATGAGCAACTCTACCAAAGGTTATTTGAATCCCTGAGTCTCCCCCTGTTCTTTCAACAGATCCTTGGCTAGGTCAGTTCTATTTATAAGAGAGGAAAGGCCAGTGAGGTGGGGGAAGAGCAGCAGCTTAGACTCTTAGAAAACAAACACTCCAAAATAAATACTTCACTGCTGAATCTGAACCATCCCCTTCAACAACTCTTTGGTACTTATTATAGAATTACATAATTCAAAAATGAAAACAGAAATATCTAGGGAAGAGTGGCAATGACAGCTCTGTGTTTTCCCAGAAACCTGAGAGAGGGAGAGAGAGCACTGCTGACTCTCTCCACACTTGGCGCCCAATTTCACAGTTTTTCAAGGAATAACAAGCTCTGCCCAAAGAAGTGAGCCAGGAGGGCCTCTTCTTGTCCTTCCAGGTGATTCCAAGGGCATGAAGGAAGGGTAGCAGGGAGAGTATAAAGGAGAAAGGTGTGAGCTCTAATTCCTCACAGATTCTTAGTTTTCACAGATTCTTTTTCTTTCTTCTTTTCAGAGCTCTGGAGATACAGTGTTGTATTATACTGTATCAACTCCACCTGATTATTCTTCATAGACTTTTTTTTTGGTTTGTATTGTATTTTATTTTTGGCTTTGACACTGAAGACATGATCTCAGTCATTTGAAATACCCTTGCTCCACAGGAGTCTTTCTCAACCATTCTTTTGTAATGGGTCGAGTCCTCCCCTCTCCACTCAGGAATATAGATTTGTTTCAATAGCGAGAGCCATGTAAGGACTATTCTTCCCAAAATTCTGGCAACTGTGTACAAAAGAAGGGCTTCTTTGGGCTATCAGGGAACAGGAGGCTTTGCTAAATCAAAACTTTATTTATAAGATATGAAAGAATCACTTGTGTGATAAGACATGCAAATTCCAAAAGCAGGACCTGGTCACATGTATCACATCAACTTGTGGGATTTTCTAAAGCTCAAGATTTTAATATAACCCACTTTAGTCCAACAGAATAGACTAAATACCTAATATTTCCAGAATACTTAGTATATAACAGGGACTATTGTAAATATTTTATATGTATGAATTAGTTTAATCCTCACAGCTCTAACTTTACAAATGAGGAAACTGAGGCACCAAGACGTTATGGAGCCTGTCCAGGATCACACAGCTGTACGCAGCAGAGGATCACTCGCTCCGGTCTTCACCCCAGCTGCTAAAAGCCTGCTCGCTACACCACAGCCGCTATCCATCGTGAGCCACACGTCCACGCTACCAGGCTTAGGGCACCAGGCAGCCAGCAGTGCTACATACTTAGATGACATTATATAGCTGGTAGGTTTTGTGAACTAGCCTGAGAATCTATCTTTTACAACACTGGAACTTGAAAGCATCTTTTCCCACAGAAATAAACATTGGACTTCCAAACAACATACTAATAATAATAGTAGCTAACATCATTCTAAGAGCTATACCTACATGAACTCTTTTAATCCTCACAACAATACTACGAGGTAGGTACTATTATTATCTCTAGTCTATAGATGAAAAAAAAAAAATGAGGCACAGGCAGGCTACGTAACTAAGCGCCAGTTAGTAAGTGGGAGAGTTGGGATTCCAACCCATGCAGTCTGACTTCTGAGTCTTAAGCATTCCAGCAGGCTGCTTATTTTTACCATTCTCTATAGGTATGCCGGCTAGCATTACATTACATTACATCATCAATTATAAACACAGCCTTATGCAGAAGAGATCTGTAATTTCACTACCGTTGGGAAGTCCTCTAGCACTTGTCGATCCTTCTCCTTGCTCTCCATGAACCGCCAGTCGGGTTCATAAAGGTAAGAGTGAAAGTTGTGTAGCAGTGGGACCTTTTTCTCTATACTGATGGTCATATCGTCTTCCAGGGTGTCCAGAGCTCGGAGAACCAGATAAAATATGCATATTGCATTGCTGTGAAAAAAGGAAGAACTATTAATAAATTGGAACAAACTTCTAAAGATATTTATTTTAAAATAGCATCTCATTTATGCCAAGCCATTTTCTAAACCTTCCTAGACCCTGCAGAACTGTGTAAGATGTCACATTCAGACATCTTAAACAGTTTTCCTTTCTTAAATGGGAGCAATGAACTTCTGTAGTTTATTCATTAAAAAAAAAAATGAAATAAAAAACCTATCTGCTGGATGTCACTACTCCTCCCAGAATGAGTTACATTTAACGAATGTAGAACAAATGTACGAAGGCCAACAGACCAAATGTTTAGAAGTAACTAATATTTTGCAGATAAAAAATAAAGTCAAAAGACACAACTTCTCAGTAGAAATACTATCACACATAAAGGCAACTGGTCTACATTCATAGATGTATGGAATCTGCAGAGGCAATTTAAGAAGAACCCAGTATACTAGAAATGCATAGGAGTATAAGTAAAGCCAAAAAAAATACATGGCCTGCCCAGAGATGGTTCAGCTGCCAGAACTAAAAAAAGTTAATAAACACCGCCCTCCCGCCCCGCCCCGCCTCCCTTCCCCGCAGGGACGCTATTAGATGGCAAGCTGCCAGGTAGGGCAGTCTATAAAGTAAACACATGGGCGTTTTCAACAGGGAACATTTCCTTCACTCAAGTGGAGCACGAAGACTGCAACTGCGAGGGGCTATGCAAAAAAGTAGATTCGAATGACTCAAAGCCCCCTGGAAAAGCTTTCCTCCCCTACAGCAAAAGGACCTGCCTCCAACACTCACCGCATTTCCTCATCCAGCGCCTGGATAACAGCTGCGAAACTGCGACTGGTCTGATGCAGATACTTGTAGCAAGTTTTCAAGCTGCTGCTGAGCGAGTCCTGCGGGCAGATAAGACACGCGGAGGTGGGAGACGTGGAGGAGCAGGAGTGGGACTGGGGCAGGAGGCCGGCGGCCGTCGAGCTCCGCAGCCTGCTGCAGACACCCTCGCCCCGTGCCCAGTCCTTGGAGGGCCATGCAGCAGAAGGCAAGGGGCAGCCGCGCGGGGACATGCCCGTGCCCCTGGGCGCAGCGGCGGGGCTGAGCACCAAGGTCCGCTTAAAAAGGGACATGGCCTTGGTGCCGCAGGCAGCTGCGGCCATGAGAACCGAGGGGCCACGCAGCTTTTCCTCCATAGACCCAAGCCGAGCTGGGAGGCGCCCACCGAGGGGTGGGGCGAGCTCTCCCTCCATCCCTATAGGCTTGGGAATGGGGGACAGGGAGCGGGCATCCGCCTGACCCGCCCAACCCACACGTGAGGCCCAACGCCAGGCAGAGGTTGGCCCCGCCCCGAGTCCCATGGGTTGCAAACCTTTCGCCACCCAGCGCCTTCCTCTCCGTCTTCCCCTTCTCCCCAGAACCCACAGGCTGCTAAGGGAACCCAGTCCACTTTGGAGAAACTTGCTTTTCCTCCCTGTGACAGCCATCTCCCCCTGACCAAACTTAAGTCAGACTCCCTTGAATCTTCAACTTTGGCACTTCTATCTTTGCCTTGCCCAATTTCAGCAAAAATCCTGATTTGGTTTAGCCAGACTCCCAAACCCGGATATCTGCTCACCCTCACTATCTGACCGGGTTTCTCAGCTCGCATCATCCCAAGAATCTCGTTAGTCTTTGAGCCCAAACTCCCTTGCCCCAGATGTTTCCTCCTAGAAATTTTCCCTCCATCCATCCCTCCCCTCTGCTCCTTGGCTATAAATCCCCCCTTTCCCTTGTATTCGGAATTGAACACAGTTCTATACTGAGGTCTCTTTCTCCTATTCCAATAGCTTTTCTTAATTAAATCTGTTTTTACCCCTTTAACTACTGTCCAGTTCTGTTTTTTCTTTAACACCTGTTAAACCTCTATTATCCTCTGGAAAGCTAGCGATTCCTTTTAAGATTTCTAATCTTTCTAATTGTCATTCCCTTTCAAATCAGTGAGCTGTAAAGAGTAGCTTCCTGAGTTTTTCTTTTTCCCAAGGCAAAGAAGAACTGTTTTTCCAGGAAAAAAAAAAAGCATTATGATATGCAAAAATATCAGAAAGGACTACTACTATATGTATGTGTTTATAGAGACATATTTCAGAGCAGTTTTAGGCTCACAGGAAAATTGATTGGAACGTACAGAGTTCCCCTATACACCTCGACATGCCCCCCAGTCTCCCCTACTTTTTTAAAAAGAGAAATGGGAAATATCTGAAATATCTAACAGGGGAGTGGTTTAAAAAATACATACGGCATATCCACTGGTAGGAAATCCCATAGTCACTTTGGAATGTTAACAGTGAACTGTGTGGACCCTGGTGGGGTCTAGGTGAACTATGTCTTTTTTATTTGTGTGTATTTCCTAAATTTCATACCTTGGACACAAAAGCATAAGGCTTTTAAAAAATAATAATCATGAGAATTTTATTGCCATGTTCAATTCAAAACTGTTAGTAAAAATTAATCTATACTAAGCACCATATATTAATAAAATAATTTAGTAGTGTCTGGCATATAAAAATCCTCAGTGAAGGTTTAATGAATAAATACATTCATAAGAGTATTTAAAAACGATTCACCAGCTCCTTTCCTCTCAAAATATGGAGAAGCAAAACTTCACAGTAAAATAAAAGAAACAGAATAAGAGCTATTTACTGAGCTCCATGCCAGCTCTTCACATAAACTGCTGTTATTAGGCCGCAATGATTCCCTTCTGCATTGCCAAATGTCCTCAGCTATAACTCATGGTTTGGGGCCTGATATCTAACCATGAGTTTCAATAAACACAATGGTGTAGTCACACTGGTTCTGAAGAGCCACGCTCTTAAAGAGCACTACCCCTCCTTTCTAACACACCTCCCTCCGCTCCTAAAAGGGATGGAGGTCAATAAATCACTTCTCCCATCATTCTTTTTCCTGCACTTATTTGTTTCAGTACCTCCCCCCCCCCCATAACAATAAATTTCCTCAGATTACCAACATATAGGAAGATATAACTATTAAGCGCTATGGAAAACACTACTCACTAAAAGTTTCCACTGCTTGATTCCCATAAGCTGTGCTACGGTGGCCTGTCCCTAGAGCCTCCCAATGTTTTCCATCGCTGAGATGAGCTGCACTCCCAAGAGCGCTCAAGTGAGAGCAAACAGGGATGAAGGACGTTTAGAGGAAGAGTGTGCAGTGGCTAGAAATACAAGACTGAACTCCCAGGACTGGGGCTCCAGTTTCAACTGAAGGACAGTTCCACGAGTGAACAGCTACCAACCCTCCCCACAGCCTTCCATTTAGACTTTAAGGAACACAGGTTCCCTTAGAAGGGGGGAAAAAACCCACAAACTTGCGAACTGAGTTTATGTAACAACAGAATAATAATTACCATTTATTGGGCAGCTACTACATGCCAAGCACAATACAAACATTACAGTAAGTTCTCACTTAACCTGCTGTACCTTTTAAATCCTTACAAAACCCTTTAAGGAAGGTATTACAGACCTATAGTCCACCTGAAATATTCATAGCAGAATTCTGAATGTTTAATGTTTTAGAAAACAGGCCATAAAATGCATCTACAGAAAGCAAGCCATAAAATGCATATACATTGTGCAGTAGCATCCCATAACTGGTTTTAACAATTCTTCAGCTTAACATTTGAATATTTATACTAAGCAGGATCACAATAATTCAGGGCATGTTTTTGAAGCTAAAGACCTTAAGTCAGAACTTATGAAAAAACTCTTTGTTTTCATATCATTTTGGAGTTGGGAAATTGTGGTTAAGCAATTGTGATCTGATCTCTATTTTACAGATAAACTGTTGCTCAGAGGTTAAGTTACCAAAAGTTATTCAACTAACTGAGTCAGGACTTAAGACTTGATAGAAGTCAGAACTGCATCATTTCAAAACACCTGCTTTTTCCATTATGTGCCCTCAGAGTGATGTCACAACTTGCCGGTGGTAGTATGCCGCTATAGTTATTGATATGCTCCTAGAAATTCAGTATAAATCAAGTTTTCCAAACCTGGAATTTCTACAGCCAAATCCTTCTCTGATCGAAATAATCAGCCCTCAATATCTGCTAAGTGTACATTTTTTCCCAGCTTCTTTGTTACTTAAGAGAGACACTAAGACAATGTTAAGTGAAGGAAAATGGTTTTTCCTATGTTTCCTCTAATGNAGTGTACATTTTTTCCCAGCTTCTTTGTTACTTAAGAGAGACACTAAGACAATGTTAAGTGAAGGAAAATGGTTTTTCCTATGTTTCCTCTAATGAAAGGTACACTCAACTATCTTTTTAACATGGCTCATGGGGGTTAAAAATGGCTCAGAAAAACTGCAACTAACGAAACAAATAATATTGTAAAGTATTGTTCATCAACTCTTAAGAGGTAGAAGAGATGGAGTAGCCCATCTCACTTTTTAAAAAGGGCAAAAGGTGATACTGTGAAATCTTTCTCCTGCCTCCCATCATGGCCACCCCATTACCTCCTACTCCTCTAGAAGGAAGCAATGCCACCTTTTTTGTTTTGTTTCATTTTGTTTCCTTCCAATAGACTCATTTTATACAGAGGAAAGTAAGACGCAGAGAAGTCAAGTCTCTGGACCCAAATCCCAGTCTTATAAACTGTGTCCCCTGACTTCAGACACTCAGATCCCTTGCCCTATTACTTTTCTTTGTAGTACTCATCTTTCCCTGAAATATCGTATTCTTTTTTTGTTTTTTCATTCTCTCTTCCACTAGAACGTAAGGTTCATGAAAGCCAGATCCTTCACCTATCTTGTTCATTGTTCCATCTCTAGCACCTAGAAATATCTGGCATGCAACTGATAGTCACATATTTGTTGAAGGAGGGAAGAAAGGAAGAGAAGGAGGGAAGGAGGGAGGGAGGAAGGAAGGAAGGAAGGAAGTTAATACACAGCAGAGTTGGGAGGGAAGAAAGACTAGGAATCACAGAGTGCCTGTGATATGCTGGGAGCACATGTGACAGAGCTATCTGATCAGCTGTCTGGGACCAGTCAAAGCCTATGCTCCTTTTCCCAGGTGGCCACCAAATGGAAACACGGAGATTTTCAGACAAGCCTGGGTGGGCATGTGTGATCCCACATTAACTTCTAGGTGTCTGTTTCTTCATCTATAAAACAAGAAAAATTATAGTAGATTCCTCATAGGGCTACTGGAAAGTTTACATAGATATAAGGTGTTTAAAATAAGTCACTGGCACATAGCAATAGCTCAGTAAATGTTAGCCATTATTATGACACCTTTTATCTAAAGTAGAAGATCTAGGTTTAAAAGGTCTTTCAGCAGTTCTGCCATCAAGATGGAAGAACAGGTGCTAAACAAGTACAACTAGGGAGCTGGACTGACCACAATTCTAGGCATGATGAGACTGCCTAAAAAAAAAAAAAATCAATGAACACTGGTGTGGGGGGAAGGTGAGATGGAAAAGGATTTTAGTTGTAAATGGGTATTTTATTTCTTAACAACAACAAAAAAGATGAAGCAAATATAGCTAAAACTATATAGTTAACCTTGAATGTAGACACAAAATGGTTTGGTATAATATTTCAGTATTTTTCTATTTGTTTGAAATATTTCATAATTAAATTATATTTCTAAAGTTAAAGCAAGATTAACCTATGTTAATTAGAAATACAACATCCATAAGAAAGGAATTTAAAGTTCTTAAATAACCAGACCACACTAAAAGTATTGTTTGATTTTGAACAACAGATTTTAAAGGGAAAGAGACCAGGTTGGTAAATGATCTGGAAAGAACAACAGATAAAAAAATGGAAGAACACAGAACATTTGGCTTGCAGATCAGTATTCTTAGAGAGAATATGAGAGTTCTCTTAAAACACTTGAAGTGCTGTATTACAGAACAAGGTTTAGACTCTTTGGCTCCAGAGGGAGGAAAGAGTGAAAGTTCAGCTCACTGTAAGGTATCACTGCCTAAAAACCAGAACTATCTGGAGATGGAGTGGGCGGTCTCCACAGGTAGTGAATTACCTGTCACAGGATGTGTTCAGGAGACTGTACAACCTGGATTGTAAAGCAGTGACTATTTATATCTGTTTTTTTGTCACAGATCTGGTAATAGTGGACACCATTCCCCTGCCCCAAAAGCAAACAACTATACAATAACATAAATATTTGCTAATAACTTCAAGAAAGCTCCAAGTAAGAACTCTTAGTAAGAATCTCTAATTAAACTAATATCCTTTAAACAAGGCACAGGAGCAATTTACAGTTATATTTCCTTTAGGCATTCCTCAAAAGATTAATCCCCTATCCCAGTCAAAAGTAATTTTTTCCCTTGATGCCATGAATTTCCTTATGGCATTTACTATATAACCTGGCATTTACTTAATGTTTATTTTGTTTAAACGCTAGATGTTTCTTGAGAGCAGTGCACCCCCCTTTTGTTCATTAATTCACTAAAGGTACAAACAAGATTCCTCTTTTCAAATTGCTTAAAATCCAGAATCACATACAGAATCTTAAATCTGAAAGGGATTTGGGGAACATAAAGCCAATACTCAACCACAATACACGACTATGTGTATAGAGCATTAATTATGACTCCGATAGTTATGTAGGTCACAAAGTGACAGTCGTGCCAGAACATCATGTGAAAGGTGTTATCCAGTGAATGCCTTAACCAGATAAGTCCAGATGCTGGGTGGAGTATGACGGTCTGGAAGGTTTTTATCGCACTGCAGATGGGTGCACCACACCCAGTCTTGAGCATAAAATCAGCAGCTCTCTGATGGCTTTATTGCGCAGGCCTCAACTGACCAGCTGACAGCACC